GCTGGAAGGCCACCAAGTGCTAGCCCTGCGACTGGTAGCAAGGCGCAACATCTCAAAGAACAAACTAATCTATTCGACGACACGTTTAGCTTCTAAAACTACTGTTGTTTTTGTTTCTTGTTGAATACTGAAGTTAAATTTAAATTGTACCTATACGACTGCACTCGTTGTTATTTTGCTCTTATGATGTGCAAGCAATTCCCTTTTGATATGCTTACTTTATCACAATAGTAAACTCATTAGAAAGAACTGAAGGATACTGTGTTACAGAGAATTTTTAAAGTGGTAAATTATTTAAGAACAATCGAACGAAAAGAAAAAATCTGAAGATATTCAGTAAAGGTACAGTATTGTAAATGCTATTAAGTTTATTTTTTTGCTCCTTTACAAATTTATTTATTTGTAATTATACTATTAGGTAAATAAATACAAATGTACATAAATTATTGTTTTCTGTTATTCTCCTTAAAAGGGTATTTGTGTTGGTATTAAGTTATTCAAAAAATTAATTAAACATTTGGATGATATATATCAAAGTGAGTATGTTATTAACTACTTGTTATTGTTACTATTTAAAATAGTTTTTATTTTTTTTACAGAAATGTAATTTGTTGTGTTTCTTAAAAGTGGTTATCAGTAGAAACAATAACTATCCATTGTGTAACTGTAGACTTAAAAAACAGAGGACACCATTGGTGTCTGTTTAGAATTACTTGTTTGTTTATAATTTAAAAACGATTATATATGGACCCTCGGGTTATATTAAATCATTTGTAAAGAAGTGTAACGATGAAAACAGCAATGGAGCTCCCCAAACTTGTAATCAAATTGGCACTTATCGTGGGGTAAGTCAGTGGATTGGGCTTTGGGAGAGGCCATGGCATTTGGATCACTCCTCAAAGAAGGAATTCATGTCCGATTGTCTGGGCAAGATGTAGAGCGTGGCACATTCTCGCATAGACATCATGTACTACATCACCAAAAAGTGGATAAGGCTACTTATAGGTAAACTAAGTTTATAAAGCACTAAAAAAATAATAAATTATTAATTAATGGTTTTCTTTAAATTTCAGGCCCCTCTGTCATTTATATCCTGATCAGGCTCCTTACATCGTTTGCAACAGTTCTTTATCTGAATATGGCGTACTCGGTTTTGAGTTGGGATACTCCATGACATATGATTTGATAATATGATAGTTGTACAAGAAGTACACATTTTATGTCTACTAGAAAAAGTTATTAACAAAACAAAAGCCTGTTGGCGTTTTGAATACAAATAAATATGTATAATGTTAAAAGGGTAAAATAAATTAAAACATTGGAATAAGTTAATTTTACCTTATTAATCAATGTTTCACTAGACATGCACTGAAACAATGTTTAGATCTTAGATACATATATTATTTTTCAAAAGGTGAAAACTGTATATAGGCAATTTACTAAAAAGATTTAATTGCATATTTATGGTTTGTAATTTATAATAACTAGGTACATACATAATTCGTTTTTAAACTAGCGATTTATAAAAGTTGCTACATGCTATTTAATCATAATTAGGTAGGTATTATTTTCAAAAGAAAAACAGCATCAATAAGAGTAATGTTGCATAACAAGACCAAAGGTGAACAAATTCTTGGCTTGTTTACAATTTAAAGCAGCTTATGGTTTTTTACTATATATATAAGGGTCATTTTAAATGTCTAAATTTATTACATTTGTCTGTCTTTTGCATTTAATTCTGATTTTTTATTCCTTTCATCAAATAATGCTTTACTGAAGTTTTTATTCTTTTGTGATTTTAAGTTATAAAACTCGATAACGTCCTATGGGGCACATTTGTTAAGTTTGGGATTACAAACGTAAATGCATAGGAATGTGACGTAAAAGTGCTTTGTTTTACGTCAGAACTTCCTATTTTAAAAACGTTATGTTTGTTATTCTATGTAAAAATGTACCAATCTAATTAATATATTGATAGCTCTAAAGAGTTTTAATTGTCGTTAGATATAGATAATACATGAGTTTTCACTAAGCGTCATATAAAACAATTATTATGATTATGTTTTACAACGATTATACTTTTTAAATAGATAGCTCAAAGATTTGATAAAGTCCATTGTTTTAGAAAAGTAGGAATTTAACAATTGTGCATAGTCACATAAGAAACATTGTAAATATCCATTTGTGTAAAAAACAAGAAATGTATGTTTGTTATTATCTGAAAGTAATTTTTTCATTCATTTCATAATTTATTACCGGTATGTGCGGTTCTAATCTGGTTAATTCTGGTTGAGCTTAGAATTAATTTATTTCCTCCTTAATAAATAGATTGGATGTTATACCTACGATACCGAAGGCACCCATTTAAAATCTGAATTTGCTAGAAATTGGTCTAGACATCATTAAGTTTAAAAAATATGTCTTATTATATAAAATATTTAATTGAATATACCACTCTGTATGCCTAGGAGTGTTAATAATTTAAATTACTTTCTGTTAAATTACTATAAATAAATTTAATGTTGATTTTCTACTTATCTTAGATGGTACTTGTAGATAATTACTTGAATCAATAAGAAGTGTGCTTATGTCGATTAATTTACCTATAAATTAATTTATGACTTCTTTCACCACGTTTGATTTTACTCGATTTTTGCTTTGATAGTTTAATTAAGTTTACAATAATGATTTGGTTTCAGCAGTCATCATGTTGAAAGCCCGCTGTTTAATATCGAATTTGTCTGGCGGTAAGGGGGCACGTTTCGCAGGGTGGCTTCTATCCAAAAATGTGGCACCCGTTATCTGTGCCAGTTCTACCCGTTTTTACAATGTACCAGCCGAAGCAGAAACGTTTCTCAATGGTAGTTCTAGCACCTATGTCGAAGATATGTACAATGCCTGGTTAAAAGACCCATCAAGCGTACACAGTGTAAGTATATTTATTGGGAGACTATATTTGTATGTCTTTAGATTGCGAAATGGCAAATTTACATCAAACACTCAAGTGCTTACTCATTGCAATTTTTTAAATCAGTTTTAAGAAAGCAAGTTTTCAATTAAATGGAACAGTTGGTATTTCACAATGATTTATTTTAATAAAACTTTGTTTTTCCATTCCTATTATTCAAATCTTGTTTTTATAATATTTTTCAGTCTTGGGACTCTTTTTTTCGAAATTCCGCTGCTGGTGGGGTAGGGTATCAACGGCCGCCCAGTTTAGCCCCCCCGGGAAAAAATGAGGTGCCCATAACGTCCTTCCTTCCAGCTCTGCAAGGCTCCAGTCTCGGCCTAACGGGAGCTCCAAATGAGAAGGTTATTGATGACCACTTAGCCGTTCAAGCAATTATAAGGAGCTACCAGGTGAGGAAATAGTCACTTGCTTTAATAAATGGCAAAGTAGACAGCGTCCTTTATGTGTTTACAAAAGTACATTTGTATCCATTCTTTAAAACATACTTATTAATAGTTTGCTGCCAGATTGGATTGTTTTTGTTTGTAGTTGCTTTGAATAAGTAAAAAATGTAGCTGTAATCTGGCAGAAATCTTCATATATTTCATTCACCTACTTTGCACGAAATATTTAACAAACATTGGTTTGCATCTGATCACACTTATATGTAATTATTTTATCTGTTTATTTTTGAAATTTCATTCTTGTATCGTTGTAGCGTTTTTCCATTAGATCATAAACATTTTCAATTATTCTTAAATAGTTTTTGCTATAATGTTGAACAACCTGATCCCAAAATATTTCAAAAAAAAAAAAAAAGAAAATGGTAGTTGTAGGATAGTCTCAATGATGTGTGGCATCATTTAAATTAAAAATACTATTGAAGCCGAACAGTTTGCCCCTTAAAGAGAAAATATTTTTTTATTCGGTTTGAACATTTTAAAAAATAAGGAATATTTTGTTACTGGAAGGGTTAAATATTAATGTCGTTTATGAAATTCAGACTAGGGGTCATTTTATTGCAAAAGTGGATCCCCTGGGTATCATGTATCAAGATCGTACGACAACAATAACTGATGCTTTGGGTGCACCTCCAAATGAAATAACGAGGCAATATTCATTAGGTATGACTTACATAGATACATACATACATACATACAAATATATATACGAACAATATTAATATATTATTAATGTCCAAAAATATTAAGTACTTGTATTTGTACTCTTACGTATATACAAGAAATCTATAAACAGTTTGAAACATTTCTTAAACAAAACACAGATGAATAAGTAGATCAATCAGCTTACTAATTTTTGGTTTTGCACGCTTTTTGTGTAACTTAATCATGTCGCTTTTTGCTTGCTTATTTATTTACTTTTACTTTCCATTTTGTTTACTGGATGTTCTATTTTTTATAAGGCAAGTAAAGGTGTTTTTCTCGACTTTACTTTTTACACACTATATGCTTCTTGATAAAAAAATGACTCAAGACTTACATATTTTAGTTGAGATTTTTGTTTACCGGTGATGAAGTGTTTAATTGGTGGTTTTAGTCCGTCTTTTTGAAGAATTATTATCCTTCGACGTTTTCTTTTCTTGGTATCTTCAGGAGTTCTTCTGATGAAGATTGTTGATTTAATTTTAGAGCAACTCCCGAAGTTGCTAACCATGTGCATGCGTCAAGGAATTGTAGTTCTTTGAGACGACGTCCTTGAAACTCGAGCCGAAACGCTTCACCATCAGGATGACATTCGGTCCTCACTCTAATGTAGAAACATTAATTAATAAAAAGAAGCATATATGGTGTACATAGTTACTAAATAGAAGACGGGTGTAGTAGAGGTGATGGATTTTAGATTCGAGGACATTCAATAGCTAAATTGGACCCCCTTGGGATTAATAGTGCTGATTTGGACGACAGACATCCTCCCGAATTGCTGTATACGCACTACAGTTTTGGTAAGAAGCGTTATTAATATTTTATAGTGATCAGTAACACACTTTTTTAACACTGCCCTTTTTATGCACATTAAATCATTTTATTATTGAATTTGTTGCTTGACGTTGTTGATTCATATTATTTATTATAATTTCTTTTTGTTTGTTTTTTTCTTATAATTGTCTGATTGATGATTTTTTGTTGCTTTTGGTATGTTATTATTTTCGAGTTTTATTTTGGTTAGACCACCCAGCTCGAACTTACTCAGAAGAGTTAAGGAAACAGGTGCGCCAGTTGGAAAGTAAGTTTTGTTTTTGGTTAATTATTTGAGTTATTATTTTCGTTTTCATTTGACACAGATACATTGTATATTCGTGCAAATTCGTAATCTGTAGTTGTATCTCTTAAAAAAACAATCTTTTTAATCTGGTAATTGCATAATTACTTCTATTTTAGTTTTACATTTTTAAATATAATGTTTAATCAATAATATGGATGTCAGAAGTGATTTAATACATTTCTTAAATGATTAAGTTTTCAAATATAGTTGTTGATTTATAAAAGAAGTATTACTTATTTAACCGCTGTACCTAGTTCATAAGCTACTTGTGGTGACGGTATTTTTTAACAAATATCTGTATATATATTAAACCTAGGTAGGTNTGAAAAAGATTGTCTACTCATGCATTTGTATGATGATATTGGGGGGTAGAATAGTATAAAAAGAAAATGTAATTTGGAATTTGTTTTTAAATTTATAAGTGCTAATTACCATTTTATTTTATTTTTCAATTGTCCATCTGGGTGAAAGGTTTAGTAAAAATATGGAATTTATTAGAACTTAAAGAAAATAGAGAAAAATACAACAGAAAAGTGTTACAAAGCCATTTTCATACTCTTATTGACTTTCTTTTAATCTAATATTTTTAGGCTGAATCAGTACCAATCTCTGCATTAAATTTACAGCTTACAAACTGATCACTTATTAACTCAGCAATTATCTCAAGCATGTTTCGAATTTATAAAAAAAAAAGAATAATTAAATAATTTAAAGTTGTAAGACATTTCACTGAACTCTGTAAGAAACATGATCCTCTAATACATTCTTATGGTCCATAACATTTGGTGTAGCTTCATATGTGCACAATGTGACACCGTGCCTATGTCCCTCAGAAAATTCTCCTTTCAAACCAATGTAATAAATTCTGGTTTTATCAGAACCAAAATTCGTTGGAAAATGAATTGAAAGGTGGTAAACTGTATTAAATGTCACAACTCTAAAAATATCAATTTTGAAATAAAAACTATTTTCTGATTATAGTTTACTGTTTGATACCTTGGTGAGTATTCTAAAGAGCCTTGTGAATCAATTTGCAGATCAAATTCCTGCTCAGGTGTGGCACCTACATCATCAAATGTCATGTGAGGTCGATTTTTAAATCTGTAAATGATAATTTAATACAAAAGTATGCCATAAAATACATTTTCTCATATATTACAATCTCATCTTAGAAGGATGAGATGCAGAATCTTCACCAATAACCACAATACCCTTCAGTTTAATATTTCCAGTAAATGGTATATTAAAAAGAAGTTCTTCATCAGCATCAGATTCAACATACTGAAATACAAGAAATTAGATAGTTATCCCTTAGTTATATATTAACATTACCTCTGTAAAGTTAAGTCTTTCCTCCCATGGCTTGAATACTTTTTTACCTGAGTTTTCTATGGACTCATTTAAGCATTCCAAGTTCTCTTTATCAATCTTGGTATATAAACCATACTGTATACCCATTTCAGGGGTCTCATGGTGGTCATGATCACCCTCACAGCTATGTCCAGAACGTCCATGTGGAGCCATTAGATATTAAATATTTATTGCTGATTTGTTGTCTTTATGAAAACGTCTTACTTCATTACTGGATGGTATATAAAAATTTAAAAAGGGTACAGATATAATTGCTTAATCATAGCTCCAATCAAATACAAAGTTATAAATCAATTACCTTATTCGTTTTAGCAATTTACAAGAATATATGTAGTAGTTAGAGAAGAATTAAACAAATTTTCGCACTTTTGTGTAATTTTAATAACCTTTTAGTGATTTTTAACCGTTTATAACCTAAAATTTGAATCTGTATTAAACATAGATAATAAATACACAAAGGGCATTGGCCTTCGACGTTAAGATGCATTTAGTCTTAGATTAATTAATCATCACAATCATTTTGCCAAAAACGAAATATTAACTAAATATATTGTAATTTATTATAAGGAAATAGCAGCGAATGGATAATTAAAGTGTTCAATTGAATTCATTTAAATCATTCAGTTTAAAAAAAAGAAATTTTTTGGAGAGTGCTGTCATGCTTTGACCTAACCTTATTAACATATTCATCTTCTGACAACGGTTTGTCTCCTATTCTCCTAAAAAGGNGTAAGTAATGAATAAAAATAAAATAAACTTTGCAGCACTTCTCGGGCATCAAAAAGGAGTTGGTTTAATAGATTCTTCGGAAAATCTGATGTTAAGCCAGTGTCTGAGACGGTTTCAGACTCTGAATCAGTAAAAGAAGCTAGATTTATTAGGTGAGAAGTTAAAATAAAATCATATCTTCGTATAGCACTGACTTATCAATTTTTTTTTTAATTGCTAATAGGGCTTATTGCTTTTTCCTGTGCTAACTTTTCTTATTTATTTGGATACTCCTATTAATACACATCTACAAATGTTTAGATGTTTCATGACCTGTTTGCGCTATCTTATTATTTTTTTGCTGCACATATGTATTTAGATGTTTTTTGTTTTAAGTGCCCTATTTTTAGTTTTAATATTTGTACTGAAGTGAATATTTCACAAAAAAATCTTTTCTTTGTCAGCTATGCTGGAAGGCCACCAAGTGCTAGCCCTGCGACTGGTAGCAAGGCGCAACATCTCAAAGAACAAACTAATCTATTCGACGACACGTTTAGCTTCTAAAACTACTGTTGTTTTTGTTTCTTGTTGAATACTGAAGTTAAATTTAAATTGTACCTATACGACTGCACTCGTTGTTATTTTGCTCTTATGATGTGCAAGCAATTCCCTTTTGATATGCTTACTTTATCACAATAGTAAACTCATTAGAAAGAACTGAAGGATACTGTGTTACAGAGAATTTTTAAAGTGGTAAATTATTTAAGAACAATCGAACGAAAAGAAAAAATCTGAAGATATTCAGTAAAGGTACAGTATTGTAAATGCTATTAAGTTTATTTTTTTGCTCCTTTACTATGATCTCAAAAGTAACAGAACATTTGTTTTTTTTCTTATTTACGATTATCACAGTAATAAGTAGACACATCGCATAACGGAAACCTGGTATTATGTGAACAGTGTATCAATTATGCTAGAATACAGTATACCGTAAATAAACTAGTCCTTCGCTTATTACAAACGAACGTTCTGCTAATGCTGAACTGTTGAATAAAATTTCTCTTTTTCCTCCTTAAGTTATCAAAAAATCAATAAATTGCTGTTTTTTCAGCCCCTTTCGGAAAATGCGAATGTGGTGTTTTTGAATTTGGTTTGATTGAAAATGCAGAGCCTATTATAAAACAAACACCAATTAATGTTACTTGCGATGCAACAGGGTATACAAACTGTTTAAATATTTGTTCTGCATTGGCCCATGCCGCTAAAACACAAGGGCCGGAAATATTATGTGGAATTCTAAAAAATACGGACAAGTTGAAGGTGAACAATCTTTATTTATGTTTATGGTCAAATTAAAATCGATTACAATTTTAACGTGTAGAAACGGGCCCTACATATTGTGTATTTTTTTAGGTGGGTGTTTATACAAGGGTGTGTAATGGGGCATCGTGGGCTCATACAGGGTTAACTTCTCCCTCGCCCATCTGCTGTGAAGAGTCTCAAATCAAAAACTGTACGATTACTGAAGGTGAAACAGAACCAACTTCTACTGTACAAATTTCACCACTAACTGAACGAAATGAATAATTTTTTTATTAATGTAAGTACTTATTTAAAATCAAAATAGTGATATTGAATGTATGTAAATACAAATTGACAGACGGTCTTAGTGTAAGTAATGAATAAAAATAAAATAAACTTTGCAGCACTTCTCGGGCATCAAAAAGGAGTTGGTTTAATAGATTCTTCGGAAAATCTGATGTTAANACTCAAGACTTACATATTTTAGTTGAGATTTTTGTTTACCGGTGATGAAGTGTTTAATTGGTGGTTTTAGTCCGTCTTTTTGAAGAATTATTATCCTTCGACGTTTTCTTTTCTTGGTATCTTCAGGAGTTCTTCTGATGAAGATTGTTGATTTAATTTTAGAGCAACTCCCGAAGTTGCTAACCATGTGCATGCGTCAAGGAATTGTAGTTCTTTGAGACGACGTCCTTGAAACTCGAGCCGAAACGCTTCACCATCAGGATGACATTCGGTCCTCACTCTAATGTAGAAACATTAATTAATAAAAAGAAGCATATATGGTGTACATAGTTACTAAATAGAAGACGGGTGTAGTAGAGGTGATGGATTTTAGATTCGAGGACATTCAATAGCTAAATTGGACCCCCTTGGGATTAATAGTGCTGATTTGGACGACAGACATCCTCCCGAATTGCTGTATACGCACTACAGTTTTGGTAAGAAGCGTTATTAATATTTTATAGTGATCAGTAACACACTTTTTTAACACTGCCCTTTTTATGCACATTAAATCATTTTATTATTGAATTTGTTGCTTGACGTTGTTGATTCATATTATTTATTATAATTTCTTTTTGTTTGTTTTTTTCTTATAATTGTCTGATTGATGATTTTTTGTTGCTTTTGGTATGTTATTATTTTCGAGTTTTATTTTGGTTAGACCACCCAGCTCGAACTTACTCAGAAGAGTTAAGGAAACAGGTGCGCCAGTTGGAAAGTAAGTTTTGTTTTTGGTTAATTATTTGAGTTATTATTTTCGTTTTCATTTGACACAGATACATTGTATATTCGTGCAAATTCGTAATCTGTAGTTGTATCTCTTAAAAAAACAATCTTTTTAATCTGGTAATTGCATAATTACTTCTATTTTAGTTTTACATTTTTAAATATAATGTTTAATCAATAATATGGATGTCAGAAGTGATTTAATACATTTCTTAAATGATTAAGTTTTCAAATATAGTTGTTGATTTATAAAAGAAGTATTACTTATTTAACCGCTGTACCTAGTTCATAAGCTACTTGTGGTGACGGTATTTTTTAACAAATATCTGTATATATATTAAACCTAGGTAGGTAATTTTTAAAATAACCCACATGACATTTTTGTTTTGTTTGTAATTTTGCTTTATTATTTATCAAACTATTTACCTTATATACTATATTCTTCCTTTGCCTTTTCAATAATTAACATACACTGCACAATATCTTTCGGAATGCCCATAAATTAGTAAGTTCATTCATATGCATAAATACACTTACTTAATAAGTTTCAAACTGTCTAAAATACAAATCTTCGTAATTATTACCATTTTTATAAAGATAAATAACCATAAACTATGATAAAAATGGAAATAGTTGCTTATTTTAAATGTCTTTTTGTTTATGATCAAAACTTACTATTCATTTTATGAAATAGAGGAAACCGACATGGACCGAAGTTTTAAATTACCTTCGACAACATTTATTGGGGGTAAGGACAAAGCACTCCCCCTTCGTGAAATTTTACGTCGTCTGGAATTAACCTACTGTAGGCACATAGGGGTCGAGTTTATGTACATTAACAGTTTAGAACAATGCAATTGGATACGACAAAGACTTGAAACTCCTGGTGCCTTTGAAGTCAATCCAGAAGAAAAACGACTTATACTCGCCAGATTAACCAGAGCTACTGGATTGGAGTCGTTTTTGGCCCGAAAATGGTCTTCAGAGAAACGTTTCGGACTTGAAGGCTGTGAGATATTGATTCCGGCAATGAAGCAGGTCATTGATAAGAGTACAGAATATGGGGTGGAAAGTATAGTCATGGGAATGTCCCATCGAGGAAGATTGAACGTTTTGGCCAATGTGTGTCGAAAACCCTTGAGTCAAATATTTACACAGTTTGCTGGATTGGAATCGGCAGATGATGGATCTGGAGACGTTAAGTACCATCTAGGAACATATATTGAAAGGTAAAAATACATTTATATTTTTCTCAGGGGTATACGCAGTGAACTTACTGATTTTTTAACAGATTAAACCGTGTAACGAATAAAAATATCAGATTGGCAGTTGTGGCAAATCCATCCCATTTGGAGGCGGTCGATCCCGTTGTTCAAGGGAAAACTAGAGCAGAACAGTTTTATAGGGGAGATGAAAAAGGAAAAAAGGTAAAGTAAATAATTTTAGGATGTATATAAAGTCTAAATATTTTACTTGCGGTACTAGGTAATGTCCATGTTGCTTCACGGTGATGCAGCGTTCTGTGGCCAAGGTGTCGTCTTTGAAACCTTTCATTTGTCAGATTTGCCAGATTACACCACTCATGGTACCATACACATTGTTGTAAATAATCAAATTGGCTTTACCACAGATCCTAGACACTCTAGATCTTCACCATATTGCACTGGTAAGCGTTTAACAAAAATTATGCAATAGGTACCTATTTTTTCTTATCGTTGTTTAAGATGTTGCTCGTGTTGTAAACGCTCCAATATTCCATGTGAACTCTGATGATCCCGAAAGCGTTATGAAAGTGTGTAACATCGCCGCAGAATGGAGAGCTACCTTCCACAAAGACGTGGTCATAGATATTGTTTGTTATAGACGTAATGGCCACAACGAGATCGACGAGCCCATGTTCACGCAACCTCTCATGTATCGCAAGATCAGGCAAACGAAACCAGTGTTAGAAAAATACTCCGATCAACTCATTAGCGAAGGCGTTGTTTCAGCAGAAGAGGTCAGTTTTGTGATGAGGAGAAATGGGAGACGAAAACATATACCCCTAAATGTTGCAGGTCAAAGACGTTAAAGATAAATACGACAAAATATGCGAGGAAGCCCTGGAACAGGCTCGCAAAGAAACGCACATTAAGTACAAGGACTGGCTTGATAGCCCGTGGTCAGGATTTTTCGAAGGAAAAGATCCCCTTAAAGTGAGTCCCACAGGAGTCATCGAAGACACGTTGGTACATATTGGTAAAAGATTCTCGTCTCCACCTCCAAACGCAACTGAGTTTGTTATTCACAAAGGTTGTTTATATTTTTCAATGTTTATTAGATTTTTTTTTATTTTAAATGGTTGTTTTTACAGGTATCGAACGTATTTTGAAAGCTCGTATGGATTTAGTGGAAGCACGTACAGTGGATTGGGCTTTGGGAGAGGCCATGGCATTTGGATCACTCCTCAAAGAAGGAATTCATGTCCGATTGTCTGGGCAAGATGTAGAGCGTGGCACATTCTCGCATAGACATCATGTACTACATCACCAAAAAGTGGATAAGGCTACTTATAGGTAAACTAAGTTTATAAAGCACTAAAAAAATAATAAATTATTAATTAATGGTTTTCTTTAAATTTCAGGCCCCTCTGTCATTTATATCCTGATCAGGCTCCTTACATCGTTTGCAACAGTTCTTTATCTGAATATGGCGTACTCGGTTTTGAGTTGGGATACTCCATGACCAACCCTAACGCTCTCGTATGTTGGGAAGCCCAATTTGGAGACTTTAATAACACAGCCCAGTGTATTATCGACCAATTTATTGCTTCAGGGCAAGCCAAATGGGTTCGCCAAAGTGGTTTAGTTCTCCTATTGCCACATGCACTCGAAGGAATGGGCCCGGAACACTCCAGTGGACGTATTGAGCGTTTCCTCCAGATGTCCTCCGACGACCCTGATTATTTCCCACCTGAGAGTGATGAATTCGCCATCAGACAACTTCACGACATAAACTGGATCGTCGCTAATTGTTCAACGCCTGGCAATTACTTCCACATTTTAAGGAGACAAATCGCAATGCCTTTTAGAAAACCTTTAATCCTGTTCACGCCAAAGAGTTTATTGCGTCATCCGGAGGCAAGGAGTAACTTCGACGAGATGGTCGACGGCACAGAGTTCCAAAGAGTTATCCCAGATAATGGACCTGCATCTAAAAATCCACAGTCGGTAAAGAAACTCGTATTTTGTTCTGGAAAGGTATACTATGACCTTAATGCCGAAAGAAAGAAGAGAAACTTGGAAGCAGATGTGGCAATATCAAGGTTGGAACAGGTAAGATAAAGTATTTTATTTAATAAAAAAAACACACTAAAATAGCATTTGAAATTGTTCTTGTTTGTGATTTATTTTAATTTCTTTTTCTTTAGATATCTCCTTTCCCGTATGATCTTATTAAATCCGAATGTGAAAAATACGCAAATGCTCAGCTCTGTTTCGCCCAAGAAGAACATAAAAATCAAGGCCCATGGTCTTACGTTCAACCCCGTTTTGATACAACTTTGAGTGCAGCCAGACCTGTAATGTAAGTGCTTTATTTTATTTTTTCTTGTGGTAATCACTGGTAGAAGATATGATTTTATTTATTGCAATAAAAAAAGAAAATACACTTTTTATATTTAACAGAAGAAAGTGTTTGTGTAATTTTAGAATTTTATTTTGGATATTATGAAAAGAAAATTGGAAATACATATTTTATTATGTACGTATAAATATACAATTATTGCGTTAATAATATCCTGTTATTGAACAGAATAAAATTACGTTTACACAGAAGAATAATGTTTATATGTCAATATGGTTTGTTGTAAAATTGATGCTAATCGTAAATATTTTTCAGTAATAATAGTAAAAATAACAATTTCGTAAGAATTACTTAAAAGATTAGTAAGTAATGAATAAAAATAAAATAAACTTTGCAGCACTTCTCGGGCATCAAAAAGGAGTTGGTTTAATAGATTCTTCGGAAAATCTGATGTTAAGCCAGTGTCTGAGACGGTTTCAGACTCTGAATCAGTAAAAGAAGCTAGATTTATTAGGTGANTTTATGGTTTGTAATTTATAATAACTAGGTACATACATAATTCGTTTTTAAACTAGCGATTTATAAAAGTTGCTACATGCTATTTAATCATAATTCTAAATATATTGTAATTTATTATAAGGAAATAGCAGCGAATGGATAATTAAAGTGTTCAATTGAATTCATTTAAATCATTCAGTTTAAAAAAAAGAAATTTTTTGGAGAGTGCTGTCATGCTTTGACCTAACCTTATTAACATATTCATCTTCTGACAACGGTTTGTCTCCTATTCTCCTAAAAAGGATATTGTGGCGTATAAAAGGCTGTTAAGATTGAATTATTTGTATTAAAGTTTATTTAAACAAATTTGGAAGTTGCTTAAAACGTTTGTAACGTCAGGAATTCACTATGGCGAGTAGAGCTGCACCACCCAGAAGGACCTCAGATAATGATTCTGCAATAGCTTATGTACAAGCTGATGGCTTGGTAAGAATATAAAATAGGATGTATAAAGTATCTGCATAGCATATCTGGTTCTAAATAAATTCATAAAATAATTATTAATTGTTTAATGGTATACTATTAGAGGTTAGTAAGGTTCATTCTTTAGTTAAACTTTGTTTTATTTTAATTTCTCAGGCCGTGATGAAAATTGTAAAACATTGCCACGAAGAAACCTCTGGGAACATGGATATTGCTCAAGGAGCACTATTAGGATTGGTAGTAAAAAACCGTTTAGAAATAACTAATTGTTTTCCATTTCCCAAACATACTGATGATACAGTAGATGAAGAAGAGTATCAGTTAGCAATGATGCGTAGATTAAGACGTGTTAATGTCGATCATTTTCATGTAGGCTGGTATCAGAGTGCAGACGTTGGAAATTTCCTTAGTCTTCCTCTATTAGAGTCACAATATCATTACCAAACATCAATTGAGGAATCAGTGGTGGTTATTTATGATTCACAAAAGTCGTCTCGCGGATTTTTAACGTTAAAAGCATACCGTTTGACTCCTCAGGCAATAGAAATGTACAAGGAGGGCGAGTTTACCCCTGAACAACTTGTTAAATTAAAAGTTGGTTTTGAAAATTTGTTCGTGGAAGTTCCATTTTTGATAAAGAACTCTGCCCTGACAAATATAATGATGTCTGAGTTAACTGAGATGGTTCCTGAAGAAAAAGGCTCTAAATTTTTAGACCTTGGTACTGCATCTGTACTAGAAGGACAACTAAGATGTTTAATGGATCGTGTAGACGAATTAAATCAAGAAGCAATCAAATTTAATCGTTATCAACAGTTGGTTAACAGGCAACAGCAAGATAAACATCGTTGGTTGCAAAAGCGCGCTCAAGAAAATGCCGCAAGAGCTGCCAAAGGTGAACCTCCTTTGCCAGAAGAGGATATCAATAAACTATTCAGACCTCATTCTGTACCTCCTAGGCTTAATCCTATGCTTACTGCAGGACAAATTAATACTTATAGTCAACATATTTCTCAATTCTGTTCTCAGTCTCTCGCAAAATTGTATATTACTCAAGCTTTGCAAAACGCCAAGGAAACTAAATCTACATTATAATTTATAGATTTTGTACTTGTGCATTTGATTTATACAAATAAATAAATATAACCTTGATCCATTTTTAAATTTACTGTTATTTCCTACAAACAAACAAAAACAAAAAAATCTCAGTGCTTCTGCACTAGTATCTTTACTTTATTTATAATTAAATACCCGGTTTATTGTCTTGTTGACGGTTGTTTGTAGTTATCTGCCTTATTTAAAGACTTTATCATTGCTTTTATATAGCCTACACCGTATATTTTGGATGTTATTTTGCTTTGTTTTTTCTTATTTTTCTGCATTCATATTTCTCCGCCATTTGCGATATCGCATAATCCGACATATTGAAATTTAATTTGTCTCCGCCATTTTTAATATAATATTATGTGCCCGTATCCGTAACCACATTGCTATAGTCATTCATTCGATTTTTCTATGATCTTGTTCTTACAATCGGTGATCAGTCACAAGTTTTGTCATTTTGTGTTTTCGGTTGTTTGTCTGTGTGGTGTTTAACTGCAGACAATTTGTGTCTCTTTGGGCCTTGAGTTTACTGCCAGATTTTTTTGAAGATCTAATTATCCTGTCTTTAAGTAATATGTAAGTTTTAAGGTAGTTTTTTAATTAAAGTTATTTCTAAAACGATTTCTATTGACATACTTTTCTTAAGGTGATCTATTTCAGGTCTTACGTAAAACTGAATTAATTAGTCCATNTTTATGTTAATCATGTGCCTTTTTCTTTAATTCATCTTGATGCATTTCATAAAGACTTTTGTCCTTTTTTCTTTTCTTATTAAATTTTTCTGCAATTTTTCCCTGCTCTTTATCTCGTTCTTGTATTTCAACTTCCTTAAAAGGATCAACTTTTGCCTTTTTCTTTTCTTTACTTTTAGGAGTGTCTGTCCAGGAGGATCTGAAAAGTAATACATATTTCTTTTCTTCGAACAATTCTAAATTATGTGAATATTTTAACCTATCAGAAAAGTCAGCGGTAGGATTTTTACGAAATTGCCTGGCACCTAATCCTAAATTTTTCCCTATTTCTGGAAGTTGTGTCATCCACTCTTCTCGCTCTGTAATGCTACTATTATCAGTTTGTGCGTATCCTAATTTTATTTCTAAAGCCCTTTTTTCCAAGGCATTTTGAACTTCTGAAGAATTTTTGTGATCAACAGGCATTGGTCCAAAAACACCGTCAGATGAATCCTCATTCTCCTCTTCATTTTCACGTGTAGATTTCGAATTGTCTTGTTGCTTTAAATGGGGTGGCAGTTGTGGGCCGTAATATTCGGAAGTTGGCTCTTGTTCAGACTGAGAATCGTTTGTACTTTCTGAGATTGAGGATAGCTCTTCACTGGTGGCTCGTTTGAAACCAGGGGGAAGGGCAGGACCAATTATGTTTTTATCCATTTATTTAATTGTCTTCAAAATAACTGGTTAAAAGTAAAAATTATTAGTATTTTTTCTTATGCACTTTCCTTTTAAAAGTAAATAATATTTAGTTTGTTAAATGGTCTTCAAATTGTCTCCATTCAATAAACAAGCAGTGATGGAGAGTATTTAAAGATGAAGTTTTACAATATATTATAAACAATATTTGGTTTTATTTGTACAATAAAATTACAAATTCTTACAAAGCTACTCTAAAACAGGCAGTTAAAAAGTTTTCATTTCTTATAACTATTTAAATATTGTATACTATTTAATCATTTTTGCTATTTTTTGACTACTATATTTAACACTTTTCAAGAATCCTGCAGTTAAAATGCCCTTTAGGCTCTGTTTAATTGAAGAGTTCCAAACAATTTTGTTAATACATTCTTGGACAATGAGACTACAGTCTGGATCATATGCAACTGCCCTTAGTACATCTTCAGTGTCTTGATGAAGGCTACCCTTGTTCCAAAATCGTGTTAGTGCCACTTGAGGCCATCTAGGTAATTGGTTGAGATGATGAAGTCTTGCCAAGGGAGAAACATCCTGAGTGCATATTGAGGCTTTTTCTGCTTCTTGTATAGATAATTCAATTTTTTTTTGCTCAACAATATCTCTTTCTGCAGGTAATAATGATGAAGATATAATAGGAAAATCTACATAATCATGCAGCAGTTTCATACATGGTCTGTACAGTTCTCTAAAATCAAGCATTTGTGGCCTAACAATATTCTCAACTTTATTTTTGTTTTCTCCAAAAATCATTCTAAAATCTCCATCATAACTGAGTCTTGCTATTGTACAATAAAATTCATATTCTGTAAAGCTATCTGGAAGGATCAGCAGTGCTGCATGTACAGCAGACTGTAAATTTAATTGTAAAGCTGTTTGGATTTCTCCAACTGAGGGTTCCTTAATTACTTCTACAGGTTTGTGTAAACGACCTGCTAAATATAAATCTGACCATTCTAAGAGATCTGTTACTAAATCTTTAGTTGAGACTACACCATATTTTATGAGGAGACCATCTATTGGAACAAGAGTGTTGTAGTACACTTTTGAGCCTGAATTTTCTTGCAATTTTGCGATCCAATTTGCTCCTAATATTTTAAGAATGCTATAGTGGGAAGAATTCTCTAACAAATTTGCTTGATGCCATTTGATAGGATTATCGACGCAAAATATGAGGTCAATCATATTTTTTGTAGGATCAGACTTGTGTTTGCTTAGTTGTTTTTTCACTCCAGAACCATAAGCAAAGCAGAAAGTCAAATTTTGTGGAAACCTTGATACTATTCTATTGTAAATTGGATGCACAATTAAAGTCTTTGAAGCCATTAGAGGTAATTGCTAATAAATTTACAATAGTTTATTATTGTTACTTAACCTATTTAACCTAACTGTAAGTGGTAAACACTCCTGAAAAACGACACATACATTATGCAAGGAACTGTAGACGCTGCTTTTTATTACTTCACACGAAATTTAATTAAGCTTATTTATAAGATTGTAATTTTAAATTAAAGAATGTGAATTTTAGTAAAAAATCGTAAATAATCTAAACGTCAATTACATAACCTTAAAGAAACCGGGTGCTGTCAAGCATGAATTTCATGAAATTACGCAAGTATAAAACGATAATGTTAGTATTATAAGTTGTAATTATTCATTACTCATTGCTATTGCGTAGTTGAAGTATATTTATCAACACCATTTTAAGCAGCTATTGTTAAATATAAGTATTGATTAACATCGTGTTCCTTTACCTGTTTGCAGTTAGCACCTCACTTCGTTTCAAAAACTAAAACGATAAACGTTTCTTTAACTTTATTTACGTTTCGTTAGAAAATCATTTTACATGGGTCTTTTAACTGAAGGAAGCCCTCTAAGTTGGGAAGAGACCAAAAGATTAGCGGAGCATGTAAGACAGCATGGAGTGTTGCAATTTATTAACTTGTACAAACGTCTAAAAGATCGCCAATGGGATGTGTTAAAATGGGGCGACGAAGTAGAATATATAATTGTGAAGTTCAATCAAGAAAAAAGAACAGCTAAGGTTAGTTTAAGAGCTCAAGAATTATTAGCAAAATTAAATGAGAAAGAACATGCAGACCCAGAAAAGGCCAAGTCATTGTGGAGACCTGAATATGGAGCTTACATGGTAGAAGGTACACCAGGTAAACCTTACGGAGGGTTGTTGGCTCATTTTAATATAGTGGAGTCTAACATGAAGTACAGAAGAGATGAAGTTAGTCAGCTTTTAAAGAACGGAGAAGTTATAATGTCCCTTACAAATTTTCCCAGGTCAGTGTGTCTATTTTTTTTTAAAGCATTTTGATTGCAGAAAGTCTGTAGACAAATGTTGACTTTTTTCTAATTGTTTAAAAGGCAATACACTAATTTATATGCCTCAAAAAATCAGGTTTGCATGACCAATTTATATACAGGGTGGGGCACAGCTACTTTTAGCTGAAAGGTAATTGTATTTAAAAATACTACATAATCAATGATTCCCTGAATTAATATAAACTATTGATATAGAATGAATATAGACTATTACTTTAAAATTATTATCTAAAAAACTTTTTACAGATTAGGTTGTCCAGATTTTACTGACCCACCAACACAACCAACTCCAAATGAAGGAGTCACAAGATCTTTGTTTTTTCCAGATGAAGCTATTTATAATGGACATCCTCGCTTTAAAACATTATCAAGAAACATTAGGATGCGTAGAGGGGAAAAAGTTTCCATCAATTTACCAAGTAAATTAAAAGTATTATAAAATACATGTACTTTTTTTATAATATCTTTTTTTAGTATTTAAGGATGTACATACAAAAATTCCTGTGGATGAGTCTTACTTGCACAGTAAAGCAGCTGAACCTGATAAGGTTTACATGGATGCTATGGGATTTGGTATGGGTTGTTGCTGTCTCCAGTTGACTTTTCAAGCTTGCAATTTAACAGAAGCACGTACTTTATATGACCAGTTAGCACCTCTTTGTCCTATCATGGTAACTAATGATTTTGACATTACTAAAACCACTCTAAATAACTTTACAATCTTCAATTTTTTGGTACAACTTGTAAAATCATAAATTTTCGGTTTCTTCTATGAAAATGTGTAAAAAGTAATTTGTAAAATGTCTTTCTTACAGTTAGCTTTAAGTGCTGCGTCACCGATTTATCGGGGATTCCTGACAGACGTGGATTGTCGATGGAATGTTATCTCAGCTTCTGTTGATTGTAGAACAGAGGAAGAGAGAGGGCTGGTCCCTCTCAAAAATAACAAGTTTGTTATTAATAAGTCGAGATACGATTCAATCGATTCCTATTTATCTGAAGTTGGCGAAAAATTCAATGACGTGCCTTTAATATATGATGAACAGATTTACAACAAGCTCAGAGAGAATGACATTGACCACCTGTTGTCGCAGCATATTGCGCACCTTTTCATAAGGGACACCGTCTCCCTATTTTCGGAAAAGGTACACCAAAACGACGAGGTGGACACTGACCATTTTGAGGTGAGTTTTTGAAGTAATGTAAAGTTTCCCTAAGGTTGTTGTGGAACATCCTGTATATTTATAGTAATATTTTGATAACAAATCTATTTAGTTTCACATGAATGCAAACAATTCTTGGTGAGGTTTTCTATTTTTCCATAACTACGATAGTCCTTTTTGCAATTAAATACTTTTGTTATTTTTCCTTAAAATTTAAAAAAGTAGGCATTTCATTTTTCAATTTTATTTATATATAATAGTAAGGACTTATCTCTTAAGGTTCCAATGTTTGTCATACCTGTGAAGGTCTTATCATTTTATTTGTACTTCATTATTAAATATTTATTAATACATAATTTGATTTATTACCAGTCATGCATGACATTGCTTTTCCTTGATAAACGCATTATTTACACATGTTAATCTATTTTTAATATGTTACAGATGAGCTAATATCTAATGTATGCTTGCCGACTTTTTGTTGTAAATTGATTAATTGTTTTTACCTTGTACATATTAATTTTTCCAGTTTTTAAATGTATGTGCTGTAGTTATATTACCTTTTTGAACATCATTAAACATGAAAATTTATTCAGACTAATATAAATTATTATCAAATTATGAAATTAATACTTTTTACATATCTGCTTGTCAATTTAATATTTTATTTCTGATTGCAGCCTCGTAAATATTTNTATTTTATTTTTTCTTGTGGTAATCACTGGTAGAAGATATGATTTTATTTATTGCAATAAAAAAAGAAAATACACTTTTTATATTTAACAGAAGAAAGTGTTTGTGTAATTTTAGAATTTTATTTTGGATATTATGAAAAGAAAATTGGAAATACATATTTTATTATGTACGTATAAATATACAATTATTGCGTTAATAATATCCTGTTATTGAACAGAATAAAATTACGTTTACACAGAAGAATAATGTTTATATGTCAATATGGTTTGTTGTAAAATTGATGCTAATCGTAAATATTTTTCAGTAATAATAGTAAAAATAACAATTTCGTAAGAATTACTTAAAAGATTAGTAAGTAATGAATAAAAATAAAATAAACTTTGCAGCACTTCTCGGGCATCAAAAAGGAGTTGGTTTAATAGATTCTTCGGAAAATCTGATGTTAAGCCAGTGTCTGAGACGGTTTCAGACTCTGAATCAGTAAAAGAAGCTAGATTTATTAGGTGAGAAGTTAAAATAAAATCATATCTTCGTATAGCACTGACTTATCAATTTTTTTTTTAATTGCTAATAGGGCTTATTGCTTTTTCCTGTGCTAACTTTTCTTATTTATTTGGATACTCCTATTAATACACATCTACAAATGTTTAGATGTTTCATGACCTGTTTGCGCTATCTTATTATTTTTTTGCTGCACATATGTATTTAGATGTTTTTTGTTTTAAGTGCCCTATTTTTAGTTTTAATATTTGTACTGAAGTGAATATTTCACAAAAAAATCTTTTCTTTGTCAGCTATGCTGGAAGGCCACCAAGTGCTAGCCCTGCGACTGGTAGCAAGGCGCAACATCTCAAAGAACAAACTAATCTATTCGACGACACGTTTAGCTTCTAAAACTACTGTTGTTTTTGTTTCTTGTTGAATACTGAAGTTAAATTTAAATTGTACCTATACGACTGCACTCGTTGTTATTTTGCTCTTATGATGTGCAAGCAATTCCCTTTTGATATGCTTACTTTATCACAATAGTAAACTCATTAGAAAGAACTGAAGGATACTGTGTTACAGAGAATTTTTAAAGTGGTAAATTATTTAAGAACAATCGAACGAAAAGAAAAAATCTGAAGATATTCAGTAAAGGTACAGTATTGTAAATGCTATTAAGTTTATTTTTTTGCTCCTTTACAAATTTATTTATTTGTAATTATACTATTAGGTAAATAAATACAAATGTACATAAATTATTGTTTTCTGTTATTCTCCTTAAAAGGGTATTTGTGTTGGTATTAAGTTATTCAAAAAATTAATTAAACATTTGGATGATATATATCAAAGTGAGTATGTTATTAACTACTTGTTATTGTTACTATTTAAAATAGTTTTTATTTTTTTTACAGAAATGTAATTTGTTGTGTTTCTTAAAAGTGGTTATCAGTAGAAACAATAACTATCCATTGTGTAACAGTAGACTTAAAAAACAGAGGACACCATTGGTGTCTGTTTAGAATTACTTGTTTGTTTATAATTTAAAAACGATTATATATGGACCCTCGGGTTATATTAAATCATTTGTAAAGAAGTGTAACGATGAAAACAGCAATGGAGCTCCCCAAACTTGTAATCAAATTGGCACTTATCGTGGGGTAAGTATTATAATTGTTTTAATTTTTTTTTTTAAATGAATGTCTTTCTAGCACATGTTCCTCAGGCATTATTAGTGGAGATGATAATAAAGTGGACAGTGTATTTGGTAAGATAATTTTATTTAATAAAAATTTCCAGAGTTAATTATTTTGTTGCTTTTGGAATCATTATTCGTAATTTACTTTTATTAAACTTTTGAGCTAATCTTATTTATAAAGTGTAAGTAATAGTATTTTAAAACAAATTTGTTAAGTTAATCGTAATAATAATTCCACAATAATCGATACAAAGAAAATATTGAGAAATTATTATTTAAGGGGCTGTTTGTTCAGAAATAGATGAGCTCTTGAATTAACCACGATATCTTTTCATTATAATTTTTTGAGTAACTTCTGCTGATACTGTTTGTTTTTTGTGTTAAAATTAAAAAAAAAAGTATTCATATTCAAGTAGTATGGGATAAATTTTGTTTTTTTGGTTAAAATTTTTGCTCCTTTACTATGATCTCAAAAGTAACAGAACATTTGTTTTTTTTCTTATTTACGATTATCACAGTAATAAGTAGACACATCGCATAACGGAAACCTGGTATTATGTGAACAGTGTATCAATTATGCTAGAATACAGTATACCGTAAATAAACTAGTCCTTCGCTTATTACAAACGAACGTTCTGCTAATGCTGAACTGTTGAATAAAATTTCTCTTTTTCCTCCTTAAGTTATCAAAAAATCAATAAATTGCTGTTTTTTCAGCCCCTTTCGGAAAATGCGAATGTGGTGTTTTTGAATTTGGTTTGATTGAAAATGCAGAGCCTATTATAAAACAAACACCAATTAATGTTACTTGCGATGCAACAGGGTATACAAACTGTTTAAATATTTGTTCTGCATTGGCCCATGCCGCTAAAACACAAGGGCCGGAAATATTATGTGGAATTCTAAAAAATACGGACAAGTTGAAGGTGAACAATCTTTATTTATGTTTATGGTCAAATTAAAATCGATTACAATTTTAACGTGTAGAAACGGGCCCTACATATTGTGTATTTTTTTAGGTGGGTGTTTATACAAGGGTGTGTAATGGGGCATCGTGGGCTCATACAGGGTTAACTTCTCCCTCGCCCATCTGCTGTGAAGAGTCTCAAATCAAAAACTGTACGATTACTGAAGGTGAAACAGAACCAACTTCTACTGTACAAATTTCACCACTAACTGAACGAAATGAATAATTTTTTTATTAATGTAAGTACTTATTTAAAATCAAAATAGTGATATTGAATGTATGTAAATACAAATTGACAGACGGTCTTAGTGATGACGATCAGGCAGGGACACAACATGACGATTTAATTTTTAAATAAATTTTTAGTCCTCATTTTTGCATTTTTTTTTATTTTCTAAAGTAAACTGAAAACAAATATTAAGTGTTTATTGATATTAGAGTTAAAATAACATCTTATAATTATATTTAAAAGAAGATATTAATTATAAGAATTTTGCTTGCCCTTGTGAAAATCGGTCGTCCAAATGTTGGGCTTTTTTTAATATGGACTTTTTCTGGGCCTCGTCAAATTGATTTACTTTTAAATCGATTTCTCTATTGAATGGTCTTCTTGTAGACGTGGAGTTGTCAGTTTCTTTTTTCTGAAATACAAAAAAAATTACAAAAATATGTATGTTCATTTATGTTAATCATGTGCCTTTTTCTTTAATTCATCTTGATGCATTTCATAAAGACTTTTGTCCTTTTTTCTTTTCTTATTAAATTTTTCTGCAATTTTTCCCTGCTCTTTATCTCGTTCTTGTATTTCAACTTCCTTAAAAGGATCAACTTTTGCCTTTTTCTTTTCTTTACTTTTAGGAGTGTCTGTCCAGGAGGATCTGAAAAGTAATACATATTTCTTTTCTTCGAACAATTCTAAATTATGTGAATATTTTAACCTATCAGAAAAGTCAGCGGTAGGAT